TCAAAACTGGTTGCAATAAATAGTTGCTTTCTCATAAGGCAAAATGTAAGAGTAGGATTGTATTAGTATGCAAAGTGCTTTGCATTTATTCATTATACACTTGCTGAGATTTGTTCCTCTTGAGATTCTTTTGTGTTTAGGCCAGAAGAAACTCAGATACTTAAAAGATATGCAAAGTCTTTATGAAGTGGACTCAAAACAGCAAATGACTACCAAAATATCTTGTAATATATTAGAAGCCTGTAAGTATGGGATTATACTGCATCTATTGCAAGAAGTAATGTAGACTTCAAAAAAGCTTGTGCTCTTTAAAAAAAAAAAATATCAGGGTTTCAAAATATCTTCCATATAAATAAGGTATTTATGATTAAGTCTAGAATCTCCAGGGCATGTAGTGTACCAGCACATTAATCAAGATGGCTATAAATACACAGAAACATTCAAAGCCTGATAGTGACAAGTTTCCATATTGATGGCAAACTACAAGAAAAGGATAATAAAAACAAATACTGTGAGCTTTTTTAATTATGGCTAGAGTATAAGTGGATATTTTAAAATAACAACAATTTTAATCCAAGGTGAAAAACCCAAACCTACAGAACTGTATTTATTCTTGGCTAATGTTTACCATAGAATACATTTTCAGTGTAATTAGGACTGTTTCTAATTTGCAAGACAACCTCTCATTTGTTATTAGAGTGAGAAGGCTGAGAAGGAAATTTTACCCCTTGATGTGGCTGATGGAAAAATAGATTGATTAAAAAAATCCCATCTAAATTAGGCTGAATAAGTTTTCTCTTCTTCAAGGCCCATCAGGGTCTGAGGCATTAGTGTTTACTCATACTAAGCATCATCTTGTTGCACAAATTTTGTATTAAGTGCAAAGAAGCACATCCAGATCTGGCCCACTGCATCATTTGCCCTGTATTTGTGTAGTTTTTCACTGGGTTTTGCTGTGTTTCAGTGCTCCAAGTTCTATTTAACCTAATTGCACTTAAATTCTTTTTGATCCTGCAAGAGCTTCAGCTACAAAGATACCAAAATAATGTTATTAAGGGTGTGTTTGTAAGGAAATAGGTGTAATTGCATTACTTCAGTGATATGAAACAAGGCTGCTCAAAGTAGTACAGATTGCATTAGAGGAAACAGATCTCCTGTGATCAATCTCCCCATATATATTATTATGCTTTTTTTTTTCTGCTGTGAGTACACAGGCAGGAAGAAGAAAAACATGAGTGGCGAGGAAAATAGCACCATTTTCTTGATTTTCCATACAAATATAGTGGAGATCTTCTCCCTTGGTCCCGGGAAGTGACGGGGGGGATGTAAGCACCTCAGTGGCTGTGGCAGGTCCATTAGTAAAGCACTGTGTGATAGCCTGGCACTGTCCTGCCAAAATCCTGCTGCTTTCAGATCAAATAATGATTCTGCATGGCCGTATGAACCCTGCCTCTGTTTCTTGATCATCCCACTTTGGAGAATAGGGCTCAGAAGGAGAGCACAGCTGTTTCGCAGTGTGTCCTGATGCTTATGCTTCCCACAGAGATGTTGTCTTCCACGTTTCTTGCAGGCTTTTAGCAATGCTCCCCTCTTTGTTACTTTCCAAAAGATGAATTTATCTATTTTTTTTCCATCTTGCTTAGCTCACAGCAGCTCAGCTCTGTCTGTGGGTTCTTCCTTGGTGAAGCCTTGTAAACAAAAGTTTGCTGAATCTGGCAAACTGCTGCAGAGTGTTTCTGTTTATGAACTGACATTTACTGCTCAGAAAATACCTCACTATAAAATCTCCATCCGGCTATAGATACGATAGTCCTTTAGATTTTGTTTTAAAGCTCACCTCCCACTTCCAGGCTTTTGTCTGAGCAGGCTGGGGGAGAAAAAGAAAAATGACCAAGTTATCTTTGTTATTTATTTTTTTACTGGCAGAAAAAAATCTAACACAGGCAAAAGAAACCCTGTTGAGACCATTTTCACAGCCATGTATCATTGTAGGATAATACATCCCCAGCTGGTGTAAATAAAGGAGGAAAATGTGAAGGGGTCTGTATGGCATAGTTCCAATTTACAACAAAAGCAACTTCTGCAACATTAATGAAAATTATTTCTTGGAATGTTTACTTGCTATTAAAATTCATCACATACAAGGTTTGTCTTTTATAAGTCTCAGCCATGCTAAACAACCAACCAAAAGGCTTGTCACAGTTATCTGGAATGGGCTTTTAAAGTTAGCATTTAGTGTCTTCAAATGTTGCATAGCGTGAAAAAGTCAAACTTTGACATCAGCTGCTGCAGACTATCTTCCTTGAGCTGATCTGAGTAACCTTCAAATTATGAGGATAATCTCAATTGACATGCAAATTATACAGCCTAAACAGGGAAAAAACTACTCCTTCATTTACTCTTGGAAAATGCAATTTAGTCTGCTGTAACTGGTGCTTTCCAAGAGATAAATTTCTCATAATGATTAATATCTCTGGCAGAAAATTATATAAGTAATATGTGGAGAGCACAAAGGAGGCTTGGAGTAATGTAATTCTGTTCAAATTTTACTTTTTTTTTTTTTTTTTTTTGTTGTAAAAGAGAAGGGTAGACTATGCCATCTACTTAAGTCTTTACATATTCTAAGGTGAAGCAGTATATTTGTATCTGCAGTTTTGTAAACCCTCAAGGTAGTGATTTAAATGAAAAAGTGACATCTTGGAATGGAGTGAAATTTTAAAATCCTAGCAAAAAGAAGATTCTGAGTTCTTAAAATTGTGTTTTGCCCTGAAAACACTGCTGATATTGCCAAAAACCTAGAAGAAAGGCATTGATGGTTCTCTTTAGTTTATTTTTTTCCTAAAGACAGACTTTGCTAATCCTAAACTTTTAATACCAGTGTAAAGGATTAGAGGAATTACAGGAATGATATTCTATTAAATAACATGACTAGTTCAAAACAAACTCCCCTGAAATGATGCATAGATCTAGCTCAGCACTTATTCAGAGTGGAACTTCTCCTTAATCCAAAGAGATGACCTGGACCTTAGGGGGCCTTTTTATGTTTTTAACTGAGCAAAAGGACTATTGCATCAGAAAGGTGAGGTTGAAGACCAGGTGCCTGAGGGATACTCCCTGTTTTATTCAGGTTAATTAGCTATAGTACATATTTGTCAAAGAGCATTTAAATACCCTTTGCCAAAAATTTAATACCATTAACAAATTATGATAATAGGGATATATCACTGTCTTCCAGGATATTGTATTTTGCTTAATAATTAATTATAGAAATGCAAATTCAAAAGAGGATGCACACTGCGTAATCATGCCTCCAGTACATAAAAAAACATCAAAGTAAAATTAAGCAATCCTACATGCTCTGAAGAGACATTTATGTCTTGATTCATGTACTGGCTGAAGGGGAGCTTTCCCATCATCCATGAACCAGGAACTTTGGCTAGTACTTGTCCTGGTTCAGACTGGAATAGAGTCCATGTTCGTTTTTGGCAGCTGGAGGAGCCCTGATGCACACTGAGATTTCAGGGACCCCCCAGCTCCACACGCCCTGCCTGTGCGCAGGCTCACAAGAAGCAGGGCGGGAACACAGCTGCAGCACTGGGCCCGTATTGGCCAATATTCCATGTCATGTGACATTACACTCACCATATAAAGGAAGGAGTGGGCGGGAAGGCGCGCTCTCACTTCCGGGATCGCTGCCATGGCGTCTTTGTGTTTCAGGATCGCTAGCCGGGCGCGGGCAGGTTGTCGGCTGATGCGTGGTGAGCAACTGCATTGTACATTACCCGTTTATACTGTCACCGTATTATTTTATTACTCTTATTATACTGTTTTTATCTCAACCCACGAGTCTCCCTTTGCCCCTCCAATTCCCTCCCCATTCCTGAGTGGGGGAGGGTGAGCAAGTGGCTGCATGGTGTTTGGTTGCCGACGAGGCTCAAACCATGATGGAGGCTGTCTCTCTGTTCATTTTCATTTACTGATTGGGCTTTTTTTGTGCTTTACATAAAATGTAAAAAAAAAAAAAAAAAAAAAAAAAAATTTGCATTGCTGTGAGGCGTTCACTGCCCCACTGAGACCTACAGGAACATGATGGGAGGTGGCTCACTGATGTTCCCCTCCAGGAGGATTGGCAGTGTTAAGCTACCTCTGGCCCTGCCTGGGTTGGAATAACCATGAGCTTTCCCTCCTCCTTCTGAACATGACTGGAAGTGGAGATCACAATCTACAGCTAGTGTTACATGTGTTAGGTTTGTATTATCTTCCACTTCATGCCAAAATAAATGATTTGACTGGAAAAAGCACTGAGAAAAGATTAAGTTGAGGGATGGATAATTGATGCAGAGGAATATTGCTCTTCAAGTGTGCCATTTCAGAAACCTCTCCTTCAAACAAAATTATAGCAGGTATTGACACACACAAAGGTTTTCAGTTGCCTGAGCTTACCCCAAGTACTTTTTTCTCTAAACTGAGATGCCTGGCACTTTGCTGGTACCCTCCAGCAGGAAGGGCCCCAGTCCCAGTCCTGCTTTGGTTTCCCCTCCTGGCAGAGCAGAGTTTCCCTGCAGGCTCATGCTGCAGCCAGAGGTGAGCTGTCTGCACCTGTGGCCCCATCATGGGTTCAACCTGCAGTTTGTTAACAGGGCTCCTGGCCAACCCTGGCACCTGTGCCAAAAGGTGTATTTCTGAAATCAGGTAGCTGATGAAATCTTTTGTAGTTTGTTTAATAGTGGACCTGTCTTTTCTGTGGGGATTGACTGAAGACTGAAGAGCATTTACCCAAAATTTGAGAAGGATTGTAAGAAACTGAAGGTTTACCCAATTTAATTTGTATGAAATTCTGTTAGTGTTTGCTACTAGATGCGTTTTCTGAACACAGTTTCCATGTAATTTTCACAAGGGCAGTATCTGCTCTGCAAGAGGAGGGAAAGCATCAGACCAGTTGCCCCCAGACCTGTGCTGATCTAGTCTCCCTCCAGTGGATGGGAGCCCAGGACCAGCTCTTCACTTTCCAATGAGTGATCACTATTTATTCGCTCTTCTGCAGCAAAATTGCTCCAGGTAAAAACTCTGCTGAGGTTCTGTCTTCCTGATGAGCGGAAACCCCATAGGTTTGCAGCCACATGCCAAAGGGAAATTGAAATGAGAAAACTGGGCCTCAAAACATGTAAATGCCCAAGCATGAAACCTGGCTGTTTTCTGAAGGGTTGTTCTTGGGTGGTGCAGCAAACATCGTTGCTCATGATACAGGGCCCTGTATCACTCAGGGCCACCAGAAAGGCTGATGTACTGTGTTTTTAAACTCACTTGAAAATAGAAAAGAAAAAACCTTAATCTTTTTATCATCTTTTGTTGTGCATATCTCCTCATTTCACTAAAACCAATGACAGATGTGCAAATTAATATTGGATCAAAACCTTAACAACTGTTTAATTTTTAAGTTTTCTCTATTTTTTCCTTGACTGTTTTTTCCCATTAAGCATTCTAGATGAAGCAGCTGTTACCGGGTACTGCAGTAATTATTTGGGATATAACATATTTGATGTGGATTTTGGAGACAATTATGTGTTTAAGCACTGAACTGCAGAGAGCAACATTTTGCTACTTGATGGTAGAGGAAGAAAAGGGCTCTCACGTGTTTTTGTGAGGCACAGAGGGTCACAGCCTGGTCCTGGTGCCAAGCTGGATGGCCGCACTGTTGAGATATTTTCAAAGGGCTGGAAATGGGAGTTCATTCAACCTGGGCTACAGCAGAGGCAGAGCTCCCCTGCAGCTCTTCTGCCCCGGTGCTCAAGTGCATCAGCTGTGCTCTGGGTACAACAAACTGATGAAGACCTGTGGGCTCCATCTCAATTACTCCTTGGAAAGGATAATGTCTGTGATTTCATTACTCTCTATACCTTTGTATTCATCTACTATTATATCTTGCCTTTTAAAAGCCAACTTTTCAGGGTTAGGAGCTGTATTATGAACAGCACTTGGCACAACAGCGTTTAGCCTGAGTCACCACTGGCAGCCACCACAGTGGCACAGTGATAAAGATGTTCTGTAAGACATAACAGTCAGGGAATCTTTTTAATTCTGCAGCTGGACCATACATCCCATCAGAGTTGTATAGGAGCTTGCAGACTGCTTTCCCCTTCACAGTCCCTCTGCATCCAGTGAGGTGATGCTGCTGCCAGGCCATGATGCACTGAGCAGAGTTCATCATGGGTGAGGTAAGGATCATGTCTATCAAAATATTCATGATTGTTGATATACAGAGATTCGAAATGTGGATAAGTGGATACTATGGTAAATGCTCTCAAAGAGGAATCTTGGAAACTGCCAGCTTAACCCTAAAATGCATAGGATTAAATAAACTAGTGCTTTGTAACAACTTTGTACGTGACCAGAGAATGACATACTTTTAGGGGCAGTCTCATTTCTTTCAGGGATGATGAGGTTTCTACCTCTTCAAAACAGAAATAAAACTAAGATAGGCAGTTCTCTAAAAAAAGTCATCCTCATTACCTTGCACACACAGTTTTTGCTACATGTACAAAATTGCTGTGTAAATCCTTCCCCAGAGTGATTCTGATTTATACCGGTGGGTAAGCGAGGAGAATCAGGCCTGACACCGGGTTGCTGAGCTGCATTGCTTTCACTCCTTTCATCCAGAGAGTGCTTCAAAGTGCTTAAAATAAAAAGCCAGGTCCTTTTTCACAGATCAGTGCTCTGATTTACTACTTCAAGCATCCTGGAGAAATCCGAGATGATGATTGTAATGGTTGTGGTCCTCCTCTGCCATAGGCCTGGTCGATCTTCTCTTTCTTCTTATTTCCCCTCAGGGGGCTTTGGGAACTATTCTGTATTTTCCAGCAAAATTGCTTTTGTAAATGTTAACATTACAATGTCTTTAAACAATGCTTATTTACTAAAAACTAAGTCCAGAGGAGATGCCAAGCAGGTATGTATCCACCTGACTGCTTAAGGTCTGTTTATTCCACTCTAACGAGTTAAGGAATCGAGAAAGGACAGAAATCACAATATCTTAATTTCTGCCTGTCTGACTGCAACACTGTGGTTTTTTGCTCGCAGATATCTGCACAACAAGTTAGAGTAGTTCCATTTTTGGACAAGCAGAGCCTAATGAGCCATGTGTGAGGTTGGAAAGCTGGTTGTTAAAGCTTATAAGTAATTGGTTAGATTTTTCTGCTTGTGCAATTTGTCCCAGCTCTATCAAATTTATATCATCTTCAGTGCACCAAATGAAGTATAGAGCTGTAACTCCCTTGAACCTTTAGCATAAAAATCTGTACGAACCATGGAAATTCTGGACATAAAGATTTACCATTGGGAAAAAAGGTATAGAGTTAAGAAACTGAAACATTGCAATAGAGTATTGTGGTTGCACCTTCAACCACAAGCAACCAGATTACTAATAAAAGTAAACTTTGTCTGTGTGGAGAAAGGGTATGTTTATATTTCCACCTGGATCATGTGACCAGTTGTTAGTCAGTGTATGCCGCCTTCATCTGCAAATTTTGCTTCTTGTGTTAGGCTCTTCTGAAGAGCAGAACCTCCTGAAACCTCTCAGATTGAATTGCAAAGTATGGCAGTACAGTTGCATTGACTGGAATGACCTCTGCTTTGAAAGGGAAAGAGGTAATTGAGTTTCCAAATTCAAAGCTGCATCTGACATCAATCAGTTGTCAAATTTCATTAATTCTCACACCCTGAGTTCTAGGAAGATTGACTGTACATGCCTTTACGGCTGGGAAAATGCTGAAACTCTGACAAGCCTTGATAACCAAAGTTACTTGAGAGAATGTCTTTAATAAATGCTGGCTCACTTTTCTGTATGGTCCAGACTTCTTCAGGTAAAGGGTGTTATCCCAAGCTATAAATATGTATATATTAAAAATAAATATATATATATGTATAGAGAAATACATGGAGAGATATATATCACTCTCTAGATACAAGTTCTATATAGATACAGACACATATATATACATACATACGTGTGTGTATATATACATTAACAAAAATCCCTATACATTCAAACCCCCCCCCCCCCCCGAAAGGGAAGCTTCTTATAACTTGCCAGAGGAATAGACCCACCACACTGATTCACTGATTCCATCGTGGAGCGACAATGTTTAGATGCTCCTGCTTTAGTACACAGACAGCAAGAGGCATGGATGTGTTAAAAACATGCTAAAAATACTCTCCTTGGGTTTAAAAGCATGCATTACAGGTAGATAGACATTCACAAAACCAGTTATTGTAATTCTAATGAGGAAATTCTTCCACCTTTAAATCTTTAACCTGTGTAAGGGATCTAATTGGAACATCTGCATAAATTACTCCAATGTGGTAGCATTTCCTACTTGCTATATTGCTTCATTACTACTGACTGCTTTAAACAAAATCCTGGAGATGTTTTACACTGGTGTGAGCAAATGGTCTTGAGTAGATTTGTCCATAATGAAAAGAGCAGTAATGGTGATTCTGATGTGACATTTGCTACTGTGTCTTTCTAAGCTGTGTTGAACACTGCCAGGCATCTATTACAGTGAAGTGGATTGCCAGGTCTTCTCTGATGTATCAGACTTAAGGATGACCTCTGCTCCTAGTGTTAACAGAGCAAAGGCTTTTATCAATAAGAAGGTCTTTACCAGGTTCCTTATTACTTACTGTTTCAATATAATGCCTATTTCCATGATAGATTTAAGGCTTTTTACATAGTGTATACAGTGAAATATATTTCTTAGACACATACCTTGTTTCCCCTGAAATTATAGAATGAGATACCTTGGGCCAGGAGTAAAAATAATTCAGGATTTAGGAGCAAGAACACTAATGACAGCTTCAGACGCTAGATAAATTACTGTGTTTCTAACAGTGTGAGTAATTTGTTGTCATGAACCTGAAGATTTCTTTATTTTCTGAAGCAGATAATCATAGAATCATAGAATGATTTGGGTGAATGGCCACAGTTCTCTTGATGCAGCCCAGGATACAGTTGCCTTTCTGGGCTGCGTGTGCACACTGTTAGCTCATACTCAGAAAAAAATTTTAGTAAAGGATAAATATTATCAAAGAAAACAAATGACAAGAAGTTTTCAGTTTCCTGCTGCCTCTGTGCTGCTATCCAAATACAGATAGCTTTCTTCTTGGAAGAGTGCTGGGCTCTAGCAAGAGATATTCACCACTGATGCTGAATATCCATGGTCCTTAAAGAACTGCTAAAGTTCTAGGCATGAAAATCAGGTGAGCAGAAAATATGTCTTTTAATTTCATAAAACAAGAATTACCCAATTAAGGAACCTTAGTCCCCATTCACTATCCTTGAATAATTTGTTTGGAATCTAAAAATTATAGTATACATTTGTGGACTTAGTGTCCTACAAAAACCCACACTGGAAGGAAAGGCAATGACTCCCAGCTTTGTCTGAGGCAATAAATAAGATCACTAGATCTTTGGTAAACATTTGACTTCCTCTAGCTTTTATTAATATCTTATCTTCATATTCTTATCTAAAGAATTAATTTAATCCATTATTATACCAACCACAGCAGCTGCTTGTTCATGCCTCCTTCACCTCTCTACAGCTCCCACAAGAAGCTGAAGTCAACCAGCCTGTCACAGATCTACTTAACATAAGTAGCTGGTTGGAATGGGAGATTTATAATTTTTATGTTCTCCATTTATGTCACCAAAAATCTTAGAAACTCAGTTGTATACATTGTATGCTCAGTTGTATAGATGTCAGCAGCCCAGAACTCATTTTAGATAATGGTTATTTATGCTTATTTACGGCAATGGCTGCATTTTTTTCCTTCCTGTCATCCATTCACCAAAAACTGTGATTCCACACTTACAGAAATATTTTGAAGGTTTGTGTAAGCTAGAGCACATTTGAAACAATCAATCCAGTTAAAAGCATGGCAAGTAACATTTTTCTAGTAACTGCTGTAGTGCATTACCTTTCTCCTTTAGCCTTTTAAATCCCAAGATTTTCTTACAAGAAAAGAAGTCATAACTTGAAATAAAGTAGATTCATGATTAAGATATTCATTATAAATTCCATACACATTGGTTGTTTGCAATGATTTTTTTTTTTTTCTGCTCGTTCCTCTGGCAGTAACAGTAAATTAATGTGTTTGTGACATTTCTGCAATTCTAACTTTGAATGAGACTCATACCATATATTGCATTATAAATACTGACTTACATTAAGTCCCATGTGTGCCTCTCATGTAGAAATGAAATAGACAGGATAGTCATTATTCAACTTAATTTGCAATATTTATTACCCTTGGTGGATATGAATGTATTTGTTACATTCACAATAAATGACCTCTGGGTTTCGGAGATATGTATTATGTTAGGAGAAACTTGCAAGGAGTAAATAATACCCTTCCCTTTCACTCTATGAAGCTTCTATTTCTACAGTGCTGCTATTGTGTCCTGTTTCTAAATTTAATTTATGCTAAGCTGAGAAGATCTTGCTAATGCTACGGTGTGAAACAAGGGAATTTGTGTAAATGCAGTGAAAAAAATACAACCGTGTGACTTGCCCTGGTAACATTCAGAGAAAAATGCCTACAAGGACCAGCTGTAGAGTAAACATGACATAATCTTGGATAGTGTAAAAGGTGACTTGTCCTTAAGATAAGAAAGAAGCAACAGAGTTCGTTATTACTCACAGCTGGGTGGTTAGTCTATGCTGTTGGCTTGTACTCAGAACAAAGCAGTCTGCATAGGCATAACCATGACATCAGACTATCAGTTCCTTTATCAACATGGACTGCAAAGCACAGGAAAAGCAGATGTAGTAGACTGACAGTTATGCATCTGAAACATTAGGTAACTTTCCTAGCGTTTTCCTATTGTTGAAAGCTGAGTACTTGTAGTGGTCAGAACTAAAATATCTTACCTGAAGGACTGAACCAAAAATCATAGAATCACAGAATGGTTTAGGCTGCAAGGGACCTTAAAGATCATCCAGTCCCAATCCCCCTGCCCCGGGCAGGGCCCCCTTCCCCCAGCCCAGGGTGCTCCCAGCCCCGTCCAACCTGGCCTTGAACCCTTCCAGGGAGGGGGCACCCACAGCTTCTCTGGGCACCCTGGGCCAGTGTCTCACCACCCTCACTGTCAAGAATTTCTTCATTAGATTTAATCTAAATTTACTGTCTCTCAATTTAAAACCATTACCCCTCATCCTAT